CTTCTGGGCCCCCCCCCCCCCCAGTTTAGCTTATAATCCTGGGTTTTCCCTCTTGGTTTCCCATCCAAGTATTAATCCAGTCCAACTTGCTCAGCTTTCTTTCAGATTGACCATAGTCAACTAGGAGCAGCCGCTTCCCAGAGTAGGAAAAGTATTGACACTTTTGAACTCTGAATACTGTGGAGAGCCAAGAAAACAAATCAATGGATCATCAAACAAATCAACCCAGAATTCTCACTCAAGGCACAAATTACCAGAGTCATTTGGACACATTATGCAAAGACCTACTTCTCTGGAAAAGGCTCTAATGCTGGGAAAGATGGATGGAAAGAGAAGAAGAGGATGACCAGCAGCAAGGTGGATGGACTCAGTTACAGTGGTGATGGGTGCATCATTGGAAGATCTAAAAGGCCAGGTTCAGGACAGATTATCATAGAGAAAATCTATCTACGTGGTACTTAGGACTCAACAACGACTTGATGGTACATAACCAATCAATCAACCCCAGGAGAACTATAAAAGATACTGAAGAATTGTCCCCTCTCCAATGTTTTATGCTGTCCCATTTTCTCATCTACCTTTCATCTACCAACAGAAGTCCCTTCTGTCTTGAGGACAATCTTACTTGTTCCTTGCTGTCAGACAGATTCCTAACACCACCAAGAGAGTTGCAAAATTTCTCTCAGCTGCCATTGTTTTATGCAGGAAACTATTTGCTTAATTTTCTCATTTTCATTAATGTACAATTGTACCTTGTTCTCCTATGTTTCTTAAATTGCATCTAAGTATTATTTCCTGTCATATCTTATTTCTCAGTAACTAATGTAAGATTTTACGTATATGCACTTACATTAACACAAACTCACATCCCCATGTATTCACTTAATAGTTTAATATTCAATATGTAGAATTCTAGCATTTTATTCCTGAAGTATTTTTATTAATTAATTTAATCACTTTGTTTCTAGGTTCTACTTTTAATACCTTGCTATCCATACTTATTATACTGCAGCCAACGTCATATGCTCTCCTGCTGACATCTTAGAAATGTTGCAGACTTCCAGGCATTTTATTTTTCTTTCTAGATAATGTCTGTCCTTTCTTTCCTATGTTATGGCTTTGGTCATACACCTGCCAACCCCTTTCCTTCATCAATTTAGTTTTTAGGGTTTTTTTTAATACGATATAGCTCCTGTTGATGGACTTTACTTCGCAAATGTGTCCTTTAGCCTTGGTTAAGATGGTTGCACTCAAAAGCTGTGTTTGCACATGCTGTTTGCACACTGTAGATACCTCAATACCCTCAATTTTCTAGGTTTGGGTGACACACTGAACCACAAGCAAACCTCACGAGTTTGCACAATGCACCAGGTAAAATTCAGTTCATTGCTTTAGTGCTGAGGGTGTGGCCCCAAGCTAGTCGGGGAGAATTTATCTGATTTCCCACGCTGCTACACGCCTCTTCTCCTTCTTCTTTGTGAAAAGGGCCATTGAAGAGGAGCAAAGTCTAGATGGTGTTTCAAAGTCTTTGCTTCTGAATCTCTTCAGTTTATTGCTTTCTGTTATATATTTTCTTAACATTTAGGTAACTTAATGCAAAGACTATCTGCCTGTAGTCATACATCTACAAGAGGGCAATGCTATTCTAGCTATAAAATACAATCGGTATCAGTGGAATGTACCTAAACTTTAACCTAAGCAGGAGGGCTTAAAGAAGGAGACAGTTGTTCTAATCTATGGGTGTATTTGTATGATACGCTAAGCCATATTTACCTGCAGATGCTACATCAGATGATATTATCAGTATGTTTTTCCAGGCATCCCTCATGTTGGGTGGTGTTCTAGTCAACTTCACGGTGTCTGGAATATCAAGGCTTCATATCTGGGTTCTTCTTACATGTACAGAATTGAGAGAAGAAGAAGAATGCGATCTGTCGTTGAGCCATGCAAACATCTGAATCGACTGAATTAAATCAAATCAAAGTATCGTATGGAACCAAGCGCTCCAAATCCAGTTTTATGATTCAGGTGCGCTTTTCCAAACTGAGTTAGCAATCCAGACTGAATCCAGTTTGCATGTCGAATCCGACTGTTTTTCCGAATCAATTTGAATTAGTTTTTGTATAGTTTACATAGCCCTAGTATCCAGATCAAGGCTTATTTATCAGGCTTTTGTACTGCTGACTCTAATTAGCAGGGGGTGGGGGACTCAGTCCTGGTGTATCTCTTTCATCCTTTTGCACCCCTGGGAGTCAGAAGAACAGCCACTGGGTCTGGAATCACCCCATTTGGTCTGCTTACTCTAAACCAGTGTTTCTCGACCTTGGCAACTTGAAGATGTGTGGACTTCAACTCCC